CCAAGGTATGCTCATTGCGTTTTTGATAACAATATGACGACAAAATTGATCTCATGCCCATAACGAATATGAGGTTATAATGATCACCATTGATGTGGCAACGTTACAAGTTGCCAAGTCATCGATGGGGGATAAACTCAAAAAAATCGCTGATATAACAACATTATACATTGTTAAATCAGTAGTGGGCATTATATTTCATACCCACTGTTGGCATAGGAGATCAGTTCTGCCAAACTAATAGACTAAAGAATGTATAAATATTTTGAAATTCGTTCAAACGAAGAAAGTATTTCTGATAGGATTGACAAAAAAAGTTGTATAATAAGACATTATTTGGAAAATGAAAATTAATGAGTTCATTTCAATCTCTAACTTGTGCCCATTTTATTGTGATTACAGTGGCCATTAGGTAATATTTCTCATTTACAAAACAACAACCCCAGTTACTTAACTAAACAATGAGGGCATATTTGACACTCAGTATTAGTATAATCGATTAGACAGTAACGAAAAATACTTTTTTTTTCCCAAGGATGAATTGCTTTGGTTAACAGCTTGGCTACACAAAGCCACTAAAATCCCTGTCTGCTGGAATTATGTTGTACATAACATTAAAAACTTCAAATCATACATAGAATATGGCATGTCAGAATTTGTATGGGTTTCAAAACATGCTGGTATTAATGTGCTTGTTTCCAAGGTATGCTCGTTATGTTTTTGCGCATGTGATAACAACCAAAACATAAGTTTATGCAAGACAAAATTGATCTCATGCCCATAGTGAATATGAGGTTATGATGCCCACCATTGATGTGGCAATGTTACAAGTTTCCAAGTCATCGATGGGATAAACTCAAAAAAATCGTTGATATAACAACATTATACGTTGTCAAATCAGCTGTGGGCATTATATTTCTTACCCACTGTGGGCACAGGAGATGAGTTCTGCAAAACTGATAGACTAAGGAATGCATAAATAGTTTGAAATTCATGAAAACGAAAAAAATATTTTTGCAAGGATTGACAAAAAAAGTTGTATAATAAGACATTATTTGGAAAATTAAAATTGATGAGTTAATTTCAATCTCTAACTTGTGCCCATTTTATTGCGATTACAGTGGCCATCAGGTAATATTTCTCATTTACGAAACAGCAACCCAGTTAATTAACTAAACAATGCGGGCATGTTCGACACTCAGAGTTAGTAAAGTCGATTAGACAGTAACGAAAAGTACTTTTTTTTTACCAAGGATGAATTGCTTTGGTCAACAACTTGGCTACACAAAGCCACTAAAATCCCTGTCTACTGAAATTATGTTGTACAAAACATTAAAAACTTCAAACCACACATAGAATATGGCATGTCTGAATTTGTATGGGTTTCAAAACATGCTGGTATTAAAGTGCTTGTTTCCAAGGTATGCTCGTTGTGTTTTTTATAACAACAAAAACTTAAGTTTATGCACAACAAACTTAATCTCATGCCCATAATGAATTTGAGGTTATAATGCCCACCATTGTTGCAGCAACGTCACAAGCTGCCAAGTCAATGATGGGGGATAAACTCAAAAAAATCGCTGATATGACGACATTATATGTTGTCAAATCACCTGTGGGCATTATATTTCTTACCCACTGTGGGCACAGGAGATCAATTCTGCAAAACTGATAAACTAAGGAATGTATAAAAAGCTTAAAATTCATGCAAACAAAAAAGCATTTTTGAAAGGATTGACAAAAAAGTTGTATAATAAGACATTATTTGGAAAATTAAAATTGATGAGTTAACTTCAATCTCTAACTTGTGCCCATTTTATTGCGATTATAGTGGCCATTAGGTAATATTTCTCATTTACAAAACATCAACCCCAGTTAATTAACTAAACAATGAGGGCATGTTCGACACTCAAAATTAGTGAAGTCAATTAGACAGTAACAAAAAATACTTGTTTTCCAAGGATGAATTGCTTTGGTCAATAGCTTGGCTACACAACGCCACTAAAATCCCTGTTTACTGAAATTATGTTGTACAGAATATTAAAAACTTCAAACCATACATAGAACATGTCATGTCTGAATTTGTAAGGGTTTCAAAACATGCTGGTATTAATTTGCTTGTTTCCAAGGTATGCTTATTGTGTTTTTGATAACAATAAAAACTTATGTTTATGACGACAAAATTTATCTCATGCCCATAACGAATATGAGGTTATAATGCCCACCATTGATGTGGCAACGTTACAAGTTTCCAAGTCATCGATGGGGGATAAACTCAAAAAAATCGCTGATTTAACAACATTATACGTTGTTAAATCTGTAGTGGGCATTATGTTTCGTACCCACTGTTGGCATAGGAGATCAGCTCTGCAAAACTAATAGGTTACCTTAATGTTTTTTATCATGCATGGTTTGATATGTATTTATATCTCTCATAAACAACCGATGCAATAAAATCAAGTCATTTACATCCACTTCATTTGATCAAATTAACCTTAAAAATTAATTTCCCCTAAAAAAATATATTTATTTGTCTTCAAAAGAACTTTTAATATATTAATTATGAGTTTAATATTTGAGTTGCATATGATATTATAAGGACTATGGTGAGACTAGACATAAGAATTTTCACATTCTACTAGGGCTGTAAGCAAAAACCGTCAAACCGAAAAATCGAACCGAAACCGCAATTTCGAAACCG